AGGGTGGGGTGAGTCAGCAGGGGACTCTGGCATCTGAGTCAGCAATGGGATTGGGAAGGGAGTAGGGACCCTTGTCTTTGTGCGAAAAGTGAGACTGAGGCACGACAGGTGGAAAGGGAACCTTGCTTGCAGCCCCACAGATATGCGGCAGGAATGGAGCCCAGGTGCCCTCCACCTGCCCCCGTGCCCCGAGGGCACCAGTGCTTCCTCTGCACATTGCCTGCAGCCAGAGGTAAATGCCCATGGCATTGGCCCAGGGGCGCCTTGCCCTTTTCCAGAGGCCAGAAAGCAGGGAGTGGCTAGAGGCCTGGCCTCATGGGAAGCCCCAGCAGGCTGTGCGGAGGCCTCACCAGGAAGCAGGATTGCCTCTGCTTCTCCCTTCCTGGGCTGCCCCTAGCTGCAGACCAGGTACGTAAAGATCTGCCCCAGCCTGGCTGAGAGGCGGAAGGAAGGCAACCTCTTCTCCCCCCCAGCAGTCACCGGCAAATGCTGGGGGGCTGCCCCATGGGCTCCATTTGGCCGTGGCATCTGCCCACCTGCCTGGGTCAGTGAGAACCTCTAGGCCAGGCGGGGAAGATGAGCGCCTGCCTGGAGGGCCGCAGACAGGGCACCGCCCACCCCCAGCTGTATCTACTGTGTAGTGGGCTGGGTGGCAGGCTGGTCCGTGACATTACTCCTGTGAATGAGCAGGCCTCCTCGTCACACCCTGCAGCAGGGACTGGTAGGCTCCCAGAGGCCAGGTCCCTAGGGGGTGAGGGTGGAACGCCTGCTTATTTTCGGAAATCACAGGTGCTGCCAGCTAATGGCATCTGCTGGAACTTTCTGATAAGAAAACAACCTCTTCCCAGAATCAACTCTCACCATGCCGCTCCCAAACCACAGCCTGACTCCTTTTGGGATTTGAGACACAGGCCCCTCGACAGAAAGCTCTGGGGCCAACCACAGCTGCTGCAGGTGCCTGAAACTCTGCCCACTGGCCCGGCAACTCTAGGGTTCCTAAGGGGCCTGGGGGCCTGAAGGGTGGGACTCCCCCAAGCGGGCAGTCCACTTTCCTCCAGCCCTGAGGGTGGAGACAAGGAAGGGCCACATCTGGGTGGCGGCGTCAGGAGAGGGATGACATCGTTTTCCAGTGGTGTGGCACCAGGGCCGGCAGAAGAGGAAGTAAGTGCTCTTCAAGCCCCAGGCAGGGCCATTCCACCGGGTTCTGGAAGGGCCCTCACCTCGGGTTCAGCAGCCAGGAGCTTTTTTCCCCAGCCCCGTTTGTCTTGGGGGACTCTCCTCCCCCTGCACACACACATGCATACACCGTTTCCTAGCTGTAGAACAGAGGCCAGGCTTAGGCAGAAAATATCCACATAGGATTCTTTAGTAGGAGCAGGGACGAGAAAAATAAATAAACCTCACACATTCAGGAGAGAAAATGACGCTGTCTTTGCCAGGCAGCCGGAGTGGGGGTGCATGCTAGGATGTACCCCCTGGGCCCAGGAGAAGGGGTGAGCCAGGGTCAGGGTGGGACAGTACCCAGACAAGTCCTCCTCCCCCACCAACCCCATCCCCACATGTCTCAGCGGCCTGAGGACCAGGCAGCTGACGCAGCTTCTTCATGTCAGCCATCCCATCCCCCACAGCAGGCCGGGGAAGGGAGCTCAGCCTGGGATCCTGGGACCCAGGTCCCCAGGGATTTTGGAGATAGTGATTTTGGGGAGCGGACAGCAAAGCCAGCCTAGAGCAGGCCTGAGGTGGAAACTGGAAGCCCGGAGAAGCTGCCCCCTGTGCAGCAGGAGAGCTCTGTGTTTGCTGCTGCTTGAACCACAGGTGCTAGAGTGGAGATTCCAGGTGGACAGGTCCAATCCTCCAGATGAGGAAACAGACCAGAGAGGGACACCACGAGTTGCTCCACTAGGAAAGGCAGAGTGGGGCCAGGACCCATTTCCCTCCTTCCAGTCCTTTGTTCTTTGCCCTCAACAAATACGAGACACTTATTCAGAGATGGGGAAAGGACAGGGAGCAGGAAGTCAATCTGGGGAGGACCTCTAGGCCCCAGATGGGCCCTGCCCTGACGGTGCCTGCTTCCTGCCTCCTCTTCTTGCCTGGCTGTTGAAGAAGCGTTCTGCAGCCTCAGAGTGCTGGGGCCTTTTCCTGCTGGGGGATGGAGCTACATCCCAGAGAGGGTCTGCATGTCCTTGCTGAATGTCCCAGGAGGATGGGGACATCAGAGGCGGCTCTCCTGGGTATCTGCCTCTGCTGTGAGTGGCTCCTTCTCGCTTGGCTCTGTGGTGGTTCCACAGGGCCTCTCAGACCTGTCCTCGGCCTCAGAAGGGAAGCAGGTTCTGAGGCAGGCCCTCACTGATTCCTTCACCTCAGCCTCCAGGCCCTTCATCCTGGCCTCATACTCTGCCAGCGCCTCCTGCTGGAACTGTGAAGGCAGCAAGGACCACCGCCTGGCTCAGGAGGGCTCAACTGCCCCCCTCCCTCCCCTGGACAGTGGAACAAGGAGATGGCCCTCCCAGGAGGCTGGGGTGGGGGTCACCGGGAACCTCTCAGGAGAGGGGCTACCAATGAAGCACAGAGATCTGCAGAGCTGCCTTGTTTGGAAGGCCCAGGACGCCATGGGAACCAAAGCCTATAACCCACCCGTGAGGGATGAGGGCCCCCACCCTCCTGACTGGCAGCTCCCTGGAGCAGGGCCCCTTTGCACCTTGGAGTCAGCAGGCTCTAGTGGGGGCCAATGTAGGAGTCCCTGTTACCTGCTTTTCCACCTCCCGGATCTGTTCCAGGCAGGCTGCCTGCTTCTCCCTCAGCTTCACCTGCTGCCTCTCCGCCATCTCTGTCATCTGGGTGGGAGTGAGAGGCAGGGCGTTAGGACACCACCGAAAGGCCGAGCAGGACTGGCATCATGGCCACCATGCCAGCTAACCAGCTGGAAGAACTTGGACAAATTCCTTAACCTCTCTGAATAGTTTTTTTTTTTTTTTTTAATCTGTAAAAGTGTTTTTAATCTGTCTCACTGGGTGGTGAAGGATTAAATTAGACACTGTGTGTAAAGCACAATGCCTGGCACAAGGGCAGGACTCAGCAGATGGTAGCTCTGTCCACTCTGTTGTGGCAGAGTGGCTATTACTGTGTAATAATCCCGAGGGGAGCCTTAGGTCCATTCTCAGCAAGGCTTTCCTTCCTCTTCTGACTCCCTGGAGCCCCAGGAAGCCCCCCTCTCTCCCTTGCCACCCACCTACCCCAATCCTATCCTTCACTGGCCAGCTAGGCCATATCATTTCCATCCAGGGCATCTGGCCAGAGACAGAGACCTTTAGGCTGGTACCCCAACCTCCATGCACAGGCCAGAACCCTCAGATAGTCTAGGGGCTCCCCCTCCCCTGCACCACCTCCTTCTATCCTGACTTCATGGGCAACTGGCCAGTGCATCTCCTAAGGGTGAAGTAAGGGCCTGGGGCCACCCCATCCCTCATATGGAGTGTGTGTGCACACACACATGTCCAGGAAGGACACACAGCCCTTACACACCTGCTTGATGACCTGCACCACTTCCTGGATGTGGGAGTTGTTAATCTCTCTCTTCAACCTGTTGGGGTAATGGAGCTTCAGAAAGGGCAGGAGGCCCCTGGGGGGAGTTGGGTGAGACAGAGTCTCCTTAGAGTGTAGGCAAAATGGGAAATCCATCACGGGGCAGGAACCAGCCAGGGGAGTAAGCATGGGGGCAAAGGAGGAAATTCTCCTACCATAGGTGGCAGAAGTGGGATGAACACACAAGAGCTAGGGAAGAGGCACATCTCTGGAAGGGAGTCAGGATCCACTTGTGAGGCGGCCCCTTCCCTCCTGCAGTGGGTGTGTGCTCAGCACTAAACCTGGCCTTTGAGTCCTGGGCCTCCTCTCCAGGTGCTCACCTCTCCTGGGCCATCTTGTCTGTGGTGATCTTGATCATGGCTTGGATCCGCTCTAGCCTCTTGGCCTCCAGCTTTTTCTTCATCTCTTTGGAGTCACTGCAGAGAGACAGGCATCAGGGAGATGTTTTGTGGGGCCCGAACCCTTGCTGGGAGGTGAGAATCCAGCTTGGGAGGGAGGCGATCATACTTCTCTGAGGTCTCCTTGAGGGTCTTCAGCTCTGCAGCTTGTTTCTCTTGGGCCAGCTCTATCATCTTGGCAATTAGCTGAGAGGAGAGGGACGAGCAGCTTAGCGGGAAGTCCTTTGTTGTGCTGAGGGTGTGAGGTTGGTTGGGGCTACAATGCCCCTCCCCTCAGTACACAGTCCTTGGGGCCGCATGCGTACCCCTTGGTCAGGTTCCCGCCCCTGTGATGGATTTCCCATTTTGGCTGGGTTGTCTTCGAGGAAGGGAAGGGAGTATGGGGGGTGGGGGGTGGGAATCGGCTCAGGGCCCGGCCCAGGCACCTCTGCCATGTTCTGCTCCTTGAGCTTCAGGAGGCGCTCATACTGCTCCTCGCCCTGCTGCAGCAGCTCCAACTCCAGCTTCTCCTTCTGCTCCCGCATGCGCGCGCCCGCGCACTCCCGGCCCTCGCCCGGCCCGGCCCCAGAGGCCGCCTCACAAGGCGGGGTTCTGCGGAGGCCAAGTGGAGACAGACCCTGAGCCCTGGCCTCCCGCCACGTGGGGACAGGCCCTGCGCCCTGGCCTCCCG